TTTTTTTTTCTGCTTATGTGGTGCTGAGGAATCGAACCCAGGGCCTCAGGCATGCAAGGCAAGCGCTCTACCACTGAGTCACCTTCCCATCCCCCAAAATATTTTTCTTAAAACAGAATGTTCGCCAGGTGTCAGTAGCTCATGCTTGTAATCCTAGCTACTCAGGAGGCTGAGATCTAAGGATCATGGTTCAGTGCCAGCTCGGGCACAAAAGTCCGTGAGAACTTCATCTCCAACAAACCACCAGAAAACCAGAAGTGGAGCTGTGGCTCAAGTGGTAGAGCGCTAGCCTTGACCTGAAGAGATGACAGACAGCACCCAGGCCAGAGTTCAAGCCCCATGACCGACAAAAAAAAAAAAAAAGTTCTTGCATAAAAGACTATGGTTAGTTAATGAATTAATTTTATTTTTTTTCTTTTTTCAGTAGTTCACATATTGTTGGAGAAACAGTGAACAAATATTCTATGCCGTGGCAATTACAAATCTGCAGAAGCTCTCTGACCTCATTTTTGCTTACAGGTACAGTGATTGCTTTTGAATGGTAAATAGAAAGCATAGTTGAAGGTCGAGCACCAGTGACTCATGCCGGTAATCTTAGCTACTCAGGCGGCTGAGATCTGAGGATCATGGTTCAAAGCCAGCACAGTAAGGAAAAAGAAATACAAGCAGTACATTAAACATTCCCATCTGAATAGTTTCTATTTCCAAGTCTGAAATTGTAGAAAAAAAAAAAAACAAAACTAAATAAAACAGTATTTTAAATTTAAGCTGGAGGCCTGGCTCCACCAATGAGTTGCATTTGGAGACCAAAACCAAAGTGAAAACAGGAACCCAAGAGAGCACCCAATTATCTTTCACTTCAAGATTTATGCTAAACCTTTGAGCTTTTGTTTTGATGTCTTCATGGAGCATAGAGTCAAGAAATACTTGAGGTGTCTGTAAGGAGATCCCTGGATAAAACTAGGAGACCAAAAAAACTGTACTATTGAAACAAGGGCAGAAGAGACATTGGTTAAGAGAGGAAGTCAGTTTTTGTTTGTTTGTTTGTTTTTTGTTGGTCATGGGGTTTGAACTCTGGGCTTGGGTGCTGTCCCTCAGCTCTTCAGCTCAAGGAAAGCACTCCACCACTTGAGCTGTAGCTCCACTTCTGGTTTTTTGGTGGTTTATTGGAAATAGGAGTCTCACAGTCTTTCCTGCCCGGGTTGGCTTTGAACTGTGATCCTCAGATCTCAGCCTCCTGAGTAGCTAGGATTACTGGCTCACGCCAGCGCCCGGCTTTTTCTTTTATGCATTCAAAATTTGGCTTCTGATATAACATATGTAACATGTATTCTAGGAAAGAAATAAGCATAACAGAAAAAACAAGAGCAGACAAAAATAAGCTACCATATAGGAGACCCTAAATAAATTTCTAGTGCTGAAGGAGAAGAAAAGAAAAACATGTCCTCTTATGTATTATTACTCAGAAGCCAAGCATCATGCTAAATTGCCATCTGAATTAGAAAACAGGTGGTGATTTAAAGTATCTCAAGTTGACAGTGCCCCTCCCCCAAACAAGCAGGTCATGTCTAGAGGAAAATACATTCTTTCTGGATGAATATAGTGTAATCTCTGCAGTAAAGAACTTCCCCAAAGTACAAAGGAGCTAACAGCAGAAAGTCACCAAATAGGTTTCAGCAGGGAGATGATGCAGAAACAGCAGATCTTGTATGGAGATTATGTGCTGAAATCATCAGATGGATAGTCAAGTATGTGTTTAAATCAAAAACATGCAAAGTGGATGGAACAGAAAAAAGAAATATGAACAAGGAACAGAAGAAATGATCAAGGAAAATTGCAAAAGAACTATGTAAATCTCCAAAATGGAAATCTAAAATAAGCAAATCAAAAGCTTCTCAACAGATTTAGTAGTACATTACGCACAGGTGAAAGATTTATCAACAAAAAGTTTCAAAGAAATTATTCAGAATCTAGTACAGAGAAACAGAGATGAAAGAAATGAGATGTTGAAGGATGGGAAGGCTGAGAGAGGTGGAGGCAGAGTTAACAGGAAATAAGAAAGAGACCACATTTGTAAAGAAGTGATGATTGAAGATTTTTCCAGAATTGGTGATTAACATCAGTTTTTTAATTTCCATGTAGAATAGAAAAAAAAAGATCTCCTAAACATGTTTGTTATGGTTTGACTTGAAACACTGAAATGTTCTCCCCTGGCTCTTATGTTGATGGCTTGGTCACCAGTTAGTGGCATTATTTGGGGAGATGGTAAAAGCTTTAGGAGGTGGGAGCTGTTTGGAAGCAAATGCTTTTTGTCTCTCTGCTTCCTGTCCACCAAGATGTGAGCAGCCTCTGACACACACATCTGCTGTCATGATGATTTTCTGCCTTGTCTCTGTCATGGTATTCTGCCTTGTCTTGTTCCTAGAAATGGGTCAGTCCAACCTTGGCCTCAAACTATGATCCAAACTAAGTTTTCTCTTCATTAAACTGTTTTTATCAGGGAGTTGTCACAGCAATATTAAAAAATCCTAATACTATGTCATAGCGATGGTACATTATTATAGTGATCTGAAGAGTAAAAAAAGGAAAATGAAAAAGTAACTTCTCAATGACAGCAATGAAAACCCTTCAGCATACTGAGAATAAATCTTATATCCAGAAAATCTAAAATTCAAAACAAGGATAAATTAAAGATATTTGCAGAAAACAAAACATTATCTGGACTAAATGGCACATGCTTGTAATCCTAGTACTTGAGAGGCAGAAGTAGGAGGATCAAGAGCTTGAGCATATTGCTTATATCTATAATCCTAACTACTCAGTAGGCCAAAACCTAGAAGATAACAATTTGAGGGCAGCACATGCAGAAAAGTCTGCAAGTGTCCATCTCCACAATTAACTAGCAAAAAGCCAGATTTAGCTCAAGTAGTAGAGTAACAGCTCTGAGCACGAAAGCCTAGTTACACCACGAGGCCCTGTACTGGCATGAGTGGTGGGAGCACTAAATAGCGAGATTGTTTTACACAAAGAAACAAACAACTGGAGAAACCTATAGAATGCCTCAGGCAGACGGAAAGACCTGAAATTGGAGGAAGAATGATGATGGGAAATGTTTATGTATGTGCACAAAAATGTGTTGATACTTTATCAGTAACAAGAACACCTGCTTAGATTTTTTTTGGGGGGGGTCTGGTCTTGGGGCCTGAACTCTGGGCCTAGATGCTGTCCCTCAGCTCTTCAGCTCAAGGCAGCACTCTATCACTTGAGCCACAGCGCCACTTCCGGCTTTTTTCTTTTTGCTTATGTGGTGCTGAGGAATTGAACCCAGGGCCTCATGCATGCAAGGCAAGCACTCTACCACTGAGCCACCTTCCCAGCCCACCTGCTTAAATTTTTCAGGACAAAATAGTGCTGAGTTAGAAAGGGAAAATGAAAGTCTTATAAAACAAAGCCTCATAAATGTCCCAGTGTTTAGAGAAAGATATTTACTTGGTGGTAAGTATATAGTTGTCATTTTAATCTTACTTTCACATATGCATGCACACATATATATATACATATACATGTACATATTGAGTTGGTTGAAAGAAGACAAAAAATTCAGACAGTATTATTTGATTAACACAAAACGAAAATTTTAATCTATAGTAGTAGGACATCTACAGTTTAATCTACAGTTGTAGGACATGAAACAGTAGAAAGGAGTGGGGAATGGAGAACATTAGAAAGGTAGTATAGTAGAGTAACAAGGAAACTGGAATGTTATGTATGTGTTCATTTTCTTGACTGTGGAAATGAATTCACAGAGCCTAAATTTTCACTCTAAATGGTTGACACTTGAAAATTAAAAAAAGATTTGTTTGTTGTATACCAATTATACTTCATCAAAGCTAGCAAAATAATAGCTGTCTCATGATTATTTTAGGGATTGCTTATAAAGCACTTAGCATAGTATCAATTTTTTGGTAACCTATAATTACTATTATTAATACTAGTACCAGTATTTTTTATTACTATCACAAAAGCTCCTAAAATTAGGATTTCACCAGGCAATGGTGTTTCATGCCAGTAATCCTAGCTACTCAGGAGGCTGAGATCTGAAGATCATGGTTCAAAGCTACCCCAAGCAGGAAAGTCCATGAGACTTAACTCCAGTTAACCACCAGAAAACCGGAAGTGGTACTGTGGCTCAAAGTGGTAGAATTGCTAGCCCTGAGTACAAAAGCTCAGGGACAGTTCCCAGGCCCTGAGTTCAAGCTCCATAATCTACAAAAAAATAAAATAAAATAAAACTGGGATTTCAAAATTCATTATCCCGATTTTGAAGAGATTCCTGCAATACAAATAGTAATAATAAGTGCTGTTTTATTTCATTTCTTTCATGTGTTAGCATTTTCCTATTTAGATTTCAAAAAATGAAGCAGTGAGCTCTGTGGCACAATATCTAAGATACTAGTCAACATAAAATCTGAATAAAATAATGTCTTGTTGAGGTTTATTATAATGAATTAGAGTTTCTGAATGAACAACTTTTATATTCAAAATATTATGAAATATATCAATTTAGTGATTAAATCATGGTCTAACAAAATATGGTTCCTTCCCCTATTTAATAAATACTAATTTCAGCTTTTTAATGTTTCCAAAGATTTAGATAAATAGTTTATGTGACTTCTATTGTTACAATAACTTAGACTTTTACAAATGTTAACAACTTAACAAAATACAAGTTATAACTTCAAGTTTCATTATTTGTCTAATGTATGAAAATGCATTTCATTGGTAAAGACCAGTGTAATTCTGTTAATTGTGTTTTCATTCTGTCTGTGCTATGCATTGTTTTGTTTGTTGGTTGTTTATTTTTAAGGGCCAACCATTGAAGAGCCCAACAGACAACATTCAGTTACAGAGTTGAGAAAAATCTTTTCTATCGAAGAAGAAGGGCTTGTGATTAGTCCCGTAAAGGCAGCATGTTGGAAACAAGTAGGACTAAATCCAGTAGTGACAGAAACTTTGGAACATCTGAATCCATATTTGCACCTTGACAATCTATCTTCTAGTGATACTAGAATGGAAATACACTTGCCTAAAAAAGGACTACCATTAGAATGTAAGTACATAATACTAAGTATAACTTGTGTGAATATTTTAATGAGAAAATGTTAGGTACTGGATTTCTTCTCTGATTCAAAAAAAAATAAGTTCTAGCATTCAGTCTACCTTTGGCAATGCCAGAAATTAGAAATTTTGGCTTCTCTGGGCCCTATTTCTAGAAAAATAAGGAAGTTTGACTAGCTAATTCTAAATCCTAGTCTGTACTAGAATTCTAGTCTCAGTTCATAAATGTCTAGTGATGTTCAGTTACAATGATTTTTATGTAAATACTTAAATGCTAGTACTGATTCTCTTTATAGCAGCACAATGTTTTATGTTACCTAGTAGCTAAACTTTGGCATTCAATAATATCAATTAATTAACTCAAAACTTTCTTTGTTGCTGGTGCCAGTGGCTCATACCTGTAATTATAGCAGTTCAGGAAGTTGAGTTCAGAGGATTATATGGAAGCCAGTCTGGGCAGAAAAATCCATGAGACTCTTATCTCCAATAAAACTACCAAAAAAAAAAAAGCTGGAAGTAGAGTTGTGGCTCAAGTGGTAGAGCCCTAGACTGGAGCACAAAACAAAGCTTAGGGATAGTACAAAATATTCCCTTTTGCCCCTTCCTCTCTACCACCCTCTTTTGAGATTCTTGTTGACCACTGGGAAATGTTAGTTTCAATTGCTGTAGAATTTAATTTATAGAATCATAGTATGAGCTCATTGTTTCTGGATTCTTTACTCACAATTTCAGATTTATCTATGGTATTGATATCATCACCAGTTTATTCCTTTTAGTTGTTGAAATTTTTTTTTTGGTCGTGGGACTTGAACTCTGGGCCTGGGTGCTGGCCCTCAGCTCTTCAGCTCAAGGCTGGTGCTCTCCCACTTGAGCCACAGTGCTACTTCCGAGTTTCTGGTAGTTTATTAGAGATAAGAGTCTCATGGACTTTCCTGCCCAGGCTGGCTTTGAACAGTGATCCTCAGATCTCAGCCCACTGAGTAGCTAGGGTTACAGGCATGAGCCATCAGCACCCAGCTGAAAGTTTTTTTATCACAGGAATATTACCTGAGTTTATCACCGCCCCGAGATTTATTCCCCAGTTTTTAATTATTGTGAATAAAATACATGAGTGTTCTCATACAAGTCTTGTGGCCATGTTATCATATCTCTAAAGTAAAAATATAGAAATAAAATAGTTAATTCTTAGGTGTATGTTTCATTTTTTAAAGAATCTATTAACTATGCTGTGAGTGTGGATTAGTGGTAGAGTGCTTGCCTCACATGCATGAAGCCCTGGGTTCTATTCCTCAGTACCACATACACAGAAAAAGCCCAAAGTGATGGGTGGTTCAAGTGGTAGAGTGTTAGCCTTGAGCAAAAGAAGCTCAGAGACAGTGGGTAGGCCCAGAGTTCAGGCCCCAGGACTGGCAAAAAAAAAGGGGGGGCTGGGAAGGTGGCTCAGTGGTAGAGTGCTTGCCTTGCATGCATGAGGCCCTGGGTTCAATTCCTCAGTACCACATAAACAGAAAAAGCCAAAGTGGCTCTGTGGCTCAAGTGGTAGAGCACTAGCCTTGAGATGAAGAGCTGAGAGACAGCACCCAGGCCCAGAGTTCGGGCCCCATCACTGACAACAACAACAAAAAAGTTTTATTGGATATAATTCATATATCTTCTAGTTTACCCATCTAAACTATTTTAACTTTAAACCATTTAATGTGTTTTAGTATAATCACAGACTTGTACAATCATCACTAAAACACTAAGAACACTTAGAACACATCACTCCCAAAAGAAACTGCATGTCTATTAGAAGTTACTACCCATTTTGCTAAGTGGTGGAACTAACAAACCATTCTCTATCTTTATAGATTTGTCTCTTCTGAACATATGCTATAAATGGGAATCATGTACAGGTAACCTGTTGACTTTTGTGACTGCTTCTTTCAGTTAGCAAGTTTTCAAGATTTGTCTGTGTTGTAGAATAGATATATCTTATATGAAACGTTGTTTAAATCTTTTGCCAAATTTCAGTTTGGCTGATGCTTAAATATTCTGGCCCAAGAGTTCTTTAAATATTTTGGATACAGTCCTTTGTCAGAGATATATGTTGTGTACAAGCTGGGCATTGGTGGCTCACACCTGTGATCCTAGCTATGCAGAAGGCTGAGATCTGAGGATCACATTAGAAGCCTGCCTGTGAGACTTTTATCTCCAATTAACCACTCAAAAACCAGAAATGGTGCTGTGGTTTAAAGTGGTAGAATGCTAGCCTTGAGCAAAAGAGTTCAGAGACAGCACCCAGGCTTTGAGTTCAAGCTCCATGACCAACAAAAGTAAAAAAACAAAAGCAAAAAAAACCACCTAAAAATTTGTACAGATATTTTCTATCAATTGTTGGCTTGGCTGGTACCTAACTGGTACTAGTCTGGTACCTGACTGGTACCATGGTATGACTCATTATAAGCCTGTTCACAAAATGACTTTTCTGGAATTATTTCTTTGCCTAATAATTAAACCCCTCTAATAAGAAAAAGAAATGCTAAATATTTGTCATTGAAAAATTAATTTTGGCCGTGCTCTAGTAGCTTACGCCTATAATCCCAGCTACTCAGAAAGCTGAGACCTGGTGATCATGGTTCAAAGCCAGCTTGGGAAGGAAAGTCCATCAAACTCTTATCTCTGGTAAACTACCTAAACAGCTAGAAGAGGAGCTCAAGTGGTAGAGTACTGGTCTTCAGCAGAAAAGCCCATAACAGTCCGTAGCCTGTTATTTCCCACTTATTTCCATACAAGGAAGTAAGGATCCTGGGTCTAAGTAATGTTATCTTGGCATCTTTATAAAAGTTATTAGAAGATGGGGACTTTCTGAGAACTCTAAAGATGATAGAGGATATTCTTCGGATTGCAGATGTATCATGAGTTGTTAAGCTAGCTCCAGGAAAGTCTTGCTTCCTCTAGATAATTGGGTCCTGATTGCCCCTGGTTATTCCCCTGAATAATTTGCTCTGCCTATGTATAACACTTTTATTAGGTTTACTCTCTCACACTGGTTATATGGTTTTCGCCTTTAAAAACTGTATGTAAGTGACATTGTAGGTCTTTGCAGGTCTTTAAGACAGGAATCCACCTTCAGTTGCTGGCTTTCTAATAAAGATTCCCAATTCAGCCTTTCAAAATGTGGATTCTCTGTATCTCACCAATTGAATTCCCATATAACACTAGTATGGATCCAATTGTTAATTAGAAATTACTAAATGTCATTCTAATGTCCTGATAGAATGCTCATGGTAGACATTTGAGTATTTGTTGTTTTGTTTTCAGCATGGCTAGAACATAAAAGTCATTCCTTACCTATCATACATATTAATAATAAGAAATCTAAAAATGATCACACAGCATTTCCACAAAAGAGTCTATCTTCACCAAATGAAATACCAGATCTGCATGTTTCTGAAGAATGTATTTCTGCTAAAAGACAAAAAAGAGAAGAAAACCTAAAGAATAATCAAGAACTAACTGGTAGAATAATCCAAAAGAAAGAAAAGGAAGATAACATTAAACTTGACTGTTCAGTACCATCTATTGAATCATCTCCATCTTCAAAAATTAAGAAAACATCTGTTGAACATGATCAAAAACAGGAGAATGATTTGGACCTTTTAAACAACTTTGTTGTACCACCTACTGAATCATCTTTATCTACAAAAATTAAGAAAACATCTGTTGAACATGATCAAAAACAGGAGAATGATTTGGACCTTTTGAGCAACTTTGTTATACCACCTACTGAATCATCTTCCTCTTCAAAAAGTACGAAAACATCTTTTGAGCATGATAAAACACAGAATGATCTGGACCTTTCAAACAACTTTATTGTACCACCTACTGAATCTTCTTCCACTTCAAAAAGTACGAAAACATCTTTTGAACACAATAAAAAACAGGAGAATGATTTGGACCTTTTGAACAACTTTATTGTACTACCTACTGAATCTTCTTCCACTTCAAAAAGTACGAAAACATCTTTTGAGCATGATAAAAAACAGGAGAATGATTTGGACCTTTCGAACAACTTTATTGTACTACCTACTGAATCTTCTTCCACTTCAAAAAGTACGAAAACATCTTTTGAGCATGATAAAAAACAGGAGAATGATTTGGACCTTTCGAACAACTTTATTGTACTACCTACTGAGTCATCTTCCACTTCAAAAATTAAGAAAACATCTTTTGAACATGATAAAAAACAGGAGAATGATTTGGACCTTTTGAGCAACTTTATTATGCTGCGAAATAAATATAATACTTGCACCTCAAAGACTGAAGACACAGACTATGACAAAAAAGATGGTAGGTAACTTAGTAATATTTTGACATATGTATACTAGATTAAAAAATGTATGAATAAATTATAAAAGGCAAAGAACAAAAGCTCTTTAAAATAAAAATAGTCAAAATGCCAGTGATTCATAATACTCAAGATGGATATGAATATGTAAATGCAGAAATATATATTTTTTTCAAAAAATTTAAAACTACGTTTTTACTTGTAACAAAAGTCACTGTTTATACAACACTTTCTATAACTTCATCATATGAATTTCATGAATTGCGTGTGTGGGTACGCACATATGCTCTCATGTGTGGGCACATACATGCACTACCTGAGTTTTGAACTCAAAGACACTCTATATTGGTGTTCTACCACTTGAGCCATGCCTCTGTCACTGCTTTTTTTCTGTTTATTTTGGAGATGGACTCCCACAATCTTCTGACTAGTCTAGTTTCAAACTGCAGTCCTCAGTTTTTCAGCCTCTTTAGCTAGGATTACAAGTATAAGCTGCTAGTGTCCAGCTGAATTCATAGTTATTTCTAACTGTTGTTGCTCATTCTGCCAGTCTTTTTTTTTTCTCTAGTAGGTAAAAAAAATCCTATCTTAGTATTTTAAATTATATTTTAATGTGTATTTAAGGACTTTCTTTGCCCATTTAATTGCTTACTGCTTATTCTAGTATTCCCAAAAAAATTTTCTGTTTGAGTTGTTAATATCTTAAATTTGTAGCTTCTAACCATATCAAGTAGTGTAGTAGATAGGCATTGGTGGCTCACGTCTATAATCTTAGCTACTGAAGATGCTGAGATCTAGAGGATCATGGCTGAAAGTCAGATCTGGCACAAAAGAAAAGTCTATGAGACCCCCATCTCCAAAATAACCACCAAAAAGCCAGGGCTCAAATATACAGCATTAGCTAACAAGCAAGATGAGCAGGCAGGTTGCTGAATTCAAATCTCAGTGTAGAAAAAATGGTGTATTAAGTCATGCTAATTCTGGTTTGAAAAAGAAAGTAGGCATTTTAGGATAATCTTGACATACATTTCTCTGATCAAATTAACTAAAAAATATTTATGTGACTTAGAACACAGGTCTTACTTTTCTAAGTACTATTTATAGATACATCAATGTCATAAAAGTTTCATATAAGGCTGGGAAGGTGGCTTAGTTGTAGAGCGCTTGCCTTGCATGCATGAGGCCCTGGGTTTGATTTCTCAGCACTACATAAGCAAAAAGAAAAAAAGCTGGAAGTGGCACTGCGGCTCAAGTGGTAGAGCGCTAGCCTTGAGCTAAAAAGCTGAGGGACAGCGCCCAGGCCCAGAGTTCAGGCCCCACGACCAGACTCCCCCCCAAAAAAAGTTTCAATATTTTACAAAAAGATGTGACAAAGTTTTATAGTTCTACTTAAAACAAATTATTTTGCTAGTGCATTTTTCTACAATGAAAAATGTGGTGAAAGTGTAAAATAGCATTTAAAGATTTCAGAATTGCGTGATCCTTTGTATGTATGTGTGAATACATATATATATTTATATATATGTACACACAAACATATATGTATATATATAAAGTTTCTTAAAACCCTACAACTTGGTGACAGTTTTCTATATAGTAAGATCATTCTGACCAATATTTGCCCCAGATATCAAGTATAATTTCTGCATAGCAGAATGTCAAACTACTAAGAAGAATTATCATAGAAATATGATTTTCAGGGCTGGGAATGTGGCTTAGTGGTAGAGTACCTACCTAGCATGCATGAAGCCCTGAGTTCAATTCCTCAGTACCACATACATAGAAAAAACCAGAAGTGGCGCTGTGATTCAAGTGGTAGAGGAAAAGAAGCTCAGGGACAGTGCCCAGGCCCTGAGTTCAAGGCGCAGGACTGGCAAAAAAAAAAAAAGACAATTTTGAGATATACTAATGTTCACAGATTTTTATCATATTTTGTTTAAAAAATTATCCACTCCAAAATTAACACTGCCCTCCCTTTTTGGTTGCCATAGTTGTGATACAACTATGATATAGTTATATGAGCAACATTAAATGAGGAAAAACATCAAGAAAGGGCAAAAAGATTAAAAGTACTTTTGTTTAAAAAAAGAAAAAAGGAAGAAAGAAGGAAAGAAGGAAGGAGTAATTTACTGACTGAAGGAATGTTAGTAGAAATGCTTCTATATTCCTTACATTTCCTTAATTAGTATTATGTTTCAGGACCTCTTTGTTCCTTCATATAGTTTCCCCAGAGGAGAAGAAAGAATTATCTAAATTGTGAGTATGATTAAAAAGTAGCTCAGGCATGATGGATTATGCCTGTAATGAGGCAATGATCAGGAGGATCATGGATTAAACCCAGCCTGAATGAAAATTTAGTGAAAGCCTCATTTCAACCAATAAGCCCAGGTATGCTGGTGTGAGCCTGACATCCCAGCTACACAGGATATGTAAGTAGGAGGATCACAGTCCAAGCTAATCCGAGGGAAAATGTGAAACTGTCTGAAAAATAACTAAAGCAAAAAGGGCTGAGCATGTGATTCCAATAGTCAAGTGACAGAGGCCTGTCTAGCAAGCACGAAGCATGAGGGTTCTGTGTTTTGAGAAAGAGCGGGGGGGGGGGGAAGGAAAGGGAAAGAGAGGAAAAAGAGTAAAGGAAGAGGAGGAAGAAGAGGACAAGAAACAAGAGGAGGAGGAAGGGAGGAGAGATTGAGTATAAACTTGTAAGACTGAACTTTCCTGAAGGAAAGAGTATTCTTTTCCCAACAGGGAACACTCTCCAGACCATTATACCCTAGGATTAAATAAATAACTGCTTAATTCTGGTCTTAGTTAGCAAGCCTATTTGACTGTCTCCTCCAATTTAGCACTTACTAATAATAAAACTCACATTTTATTTCTTGTCTTATTGGAAAGTTGATTCAGGGGCAAAAAAATGCTATAATTTACTAAGCCCCTCAGGGAAGAATTATTACTTGACTATATGTAAATTATTTATAATTAGTTGACAATATTTCTTGAAAATAATAACATAATTAATCTAGTTTAAAATAGACTATAGTTGCACTTTTAAGGGCACTTTATTCTGTGTAGCCCTGCCTGCCTTGAACTCTTGATCTTCCTGACTCAATTTTCTGAATGCAAGGCTTACAAGCATATACCAGCATGCCTGGCTCCATTATGATACTTCTAAAAATGTATTTAAATCTTATGTGTTCAAATATCTTAAGATGGCCATGTACATCTGAAATTATCTTGTCATTGTACTGTTGATGGAAGGCATTACAGTTCATTCAGTATACATTCATTTATATCTATCTATCTGTCTATCTATCTGTCTATCTATCTATCTATCTAAATCCTGTGTTATGCCTACAAAAGAAGAAAGAAAACTAACACTTATTGATCACCCTGTCCCAGGCTCTAAAAAGGGTATAATAGATATAATATGATGCTGTTGCTTGACCTTGAGAAGCTGACAGTATAATAGAGTAGGGCAGGGAAACAGTGATAACTTCAGTACTTTGCACACAGGACTGAGGAAGTAAATGGGAGGGCACTGCCTGGCCTAGCAGGTAGGCAGTTACGTAGACTTCAGCTAGAAGCTGCCTGAGCTAAACTGTGAGTAGTAAAATTTGGCCTAACTGAGAAAAGATGGAGACAGACAGGGAAGGCTTGGAGCAGAAGAGAGGGCTGGGACAAAAGGAAAGGTATGGGGGAAGCCACAGAGACAAGAAGTAGATTGGTATGTGCTTTAAGGTGTCACGAACTGGACTTGGTATCTTATCCTTGTAACAATAGTTAAAGTAGACAGTTATCCATATTTTACAGATTAGGAAAATGAAGCTAAATTGAAATCCTGATGTGATGCCATTCTTTCCATTTTTATCATTTACCTTCCTACTCAGAAGTGTTAGGTATATTAATCTGGATTATTTGTTCAATTTAATACCGGTGTATTCCCCTGAAGATATCCAACAACTTAAATTGTATTTTAGAAGAAATCATTATAGTAACATTTCATATTAATGTTTTTGTCAGAATTTCAACATAAAGAAGAATGTTCTTTGATGCTTCAAAAACAAAGTCCCATTGTTTCTACTAACAAAACTCTCAAGAACATAAATGAAGAAACAGTAGCAGATAATGTCATTGAAATTCAAGCCTCAGGTATGCAGCATGCTTTTAAAATGCATTCACATTTACTTAATTCAAAAGTTCTATCTTGCATATCCTATTTTCTGTGTAATTTTCTTTCTTTTCTTTTCTTTTTTTTTTTTTGTCAGACATGGGCTTGAACTCAGGGCTTGGGCACTGTCCCTGAGCTCTTCAGCTCAAGGCGAGTGCTCTACCACTTGAGCCACAGCACCACTTCTGGTTTTCGAGTGGTTTATTGGAGATAAGAGTCTTACAGACTTTCCTGCCCGGGCTGGTTTTGAACTGTGATCCTCAGATCTCAGCCTCCTGAGTAGCTAGGATTACAGGGGTGAGCCACCAGCACCCAGCTCTGTGTAATTTTCTGAACTTCATTCCACTTCTAATTTCAAATTATTTCCAGACCTGGAATGCCCTATAAACTTTCTTAGACATTTCTTATTGCTGTCTTCTAATACGCTGATTGTTATTTTTTTTCATTAAAATTACTTTTAAGGACCTACATTCATCATAAAAACTACAACTCTTCAGACTCTTCTTTCTTGTGTAGAAAATGAACTACTCTT